CAGTTTTCTCTTTCATATCCATGGAGCTCAGGCTTTATCGGTCCGAGCCTTGCAGAAAGCTTGTGTGTGCAGAAGAGGAGCAGGTTCTGCAGCTCGTGCCTCCTTGCTCATCTCCTGGAGAGTTTTGTACCTTGTCATCAGCACTGACACGCAACAAAATGGAAACAAGGCTATTTAAAGGTTCCCGTAGAGTAGGGTGCTTAAAAAAACCGTGCTCAAGTGTAAATGTCAATGGGACTATGACTGTAATGCAGGCTCGTACTAAGCCATTTTACTTAATTGAGGCTGAAGGCACTGAAAGGGAAAAAAGGAATCAATCAGGGAGACATGGAAATGGAAGCAGCGGAACCCCAGCACATTTACTGTGCCTGCTCCAGCACAAGGCTGTTTAAAGCAGCTTGATGCATCAGAGGAGGCATCCATGGGTCGTTTTTAAATCAGGGCTCATGAGTGAAGGAGCCGAGAATGCTGGATCCAATGGGAGAGCCAGGCTGGAGCCACTGCAGAGGCAAGGCAGCCATGGCTGCTGGGATTATCCTGGAGGAATCCAGAGCAGGAGCCCAAAGCTTGAACCATCTTCCCTTCTGAGATAGGTTTGCAGCTCCCCTTGGTGGAAGGAAGCGGGGGGACAAGAGAGAGCCAGTCCAAGAGTCCCAGAAGGACCTTTAAGGTGCTATGGAAAGAGAAGTTCTCCCTGTCCTCAAAGGCTTCCCAGAAGTGATTGATTTTACCAATCCAGACGCTTACACGGTTTGGGGTGCTTGCAGCAGTCTTGAGCATGGGATGCTGTTTATGGCTATCTCGGTACAATGGCTTCTGCAGTAACAAAACTCTCTCATCCCAGGGGAAAAGAAGGGTGCTGAGCTTGCACAGAAACCCAGTACCTCCAGGACCCACTGGTGGCGGTCCCCTCTCTGGTCCCATCCTGCTCTGGGGGAGCCAGGGCTCCAAATTAGCTCTGAAATTCCTCTCTCCTGTTCCTCTGAAGCGTCCTTTGCTTTCAAACTGTGTTTATCGTGCATGATTGATATTTGACATTACGCTGCACCGGGAACACGCACAACATCGCTCCGCTGGGATGCGACACTCTTCCAGCAAGCACATCCATCAGAGCTGCGAGTGCCATCCCGGCGAGGGGCGACGCAGGGGCCATCCAAGGGGAGGGACCGAGGCTGGGTTCCATCAGGGATCTCGCTGCACGGCTGGGGAGAAGCAGGGAGTTAAAGGTTCCCTTCCCAGCACTGCAGGCAGGGCATGGCTGCCCTCAGCCAGGCTGAAGGATGCTGCCCGTGCTCCGCCGCTCTGGGCTGCCTGTGCCCTTGAAGGATGGCTGAGAAATCCTTGACGGGAGCGAGAGGAGAGGAGGGCTCGCGGGGAAGGAGGGACAGCAGCACGGCCCTTGGTGGGTGGAGATAACAGGGGAAGTATCGATCCCCGTTTCCCTGTGCTGTCACTCGAGAGGCGATTGCAGGAGGACTCTGTTATCTTCCCGAGCCGTGCCTGCGCGCGCATAGGGAAGCGCTGGGATGCGATTCCTTAAACAGTTCTTATGGTCCCGAGGTGCAAAAGTAAAATGAACTCAGCTGAATCAATCCAGGGCCTGACACCCATCAAGAAACGAGACCTGCTGGGCTCCAGCAGAGGAAAAGGCTCCCAGGATGTGCAGCTTCCCAGCACCATAGGGACACCACCGCAAGGGAAGGGGCTGGCCGCAGCATCACACCATGCCTGAATCCAGCCCCATGAGGGCTCGGGAATGAACAGCTCAGCATTGATTTTTGTTTAAGTTCCCATTTATTACCATGCTGTGGATGGAGATTAACTTTCCTGGCTTGGTATTTATTACTGTTTCACATGCTTTCAAATGGAAACCAAAGGTGCTTAGGTAAAGATCCGGTGCCCGGCTGTGATGCACCACGAGGGATGCTCTGCCCCTATTCCTGCATGTCTGTATCAGTGGGGATGAGCCAGCACCTCCTCCCTGGCAGCTGCTCCCAAAGCAAGTCATTACCGTGTGTTTCTGTGATGTCCTGTGGTGAAGCACTACATGCAAGTGATTGGAGAAGCACCGGACAAGCCTTGCTACCAGCTCTGCCGTAACAAGTACAGCACGCTGGACAGAGCAGAATTGCTCTTGACACTGGGATTATATCTCTGCCAACAGCATCAATATTCTATTAAAGATATGTGATAACACAACACTAATTACCAATTGATGGACCATTAAAGACAACCTACAAACAGCATTTCGATCTCGCCTTCCAGATTAAAACCACCACAATGATTTCCTGCTCCTTGTACTTTACTCCCGTGTTTTCTGCCCCCATGCATAATGCAGCAATGCAAATTGCCAGCGAACACCTAGAAGACTGCTGCGTTCACCTGCTGTCCAAGGGTAATGGCTTCCTAAGCCTGGACCCAAGCAGGAAGGAGATAAGTCTTGTTGACAAGCTGAGAACAGCAGAGAGAAAATGTCCTCTCCTATTCCCATTCAGGCTCAACAGCAATATCACAAACGGCTGTGACTTAGCAAGAGAGGAAAACCCAAGCGGTGTGGGATGAATTGGGACGAGCCCAGCCCTGCAAAGCCTTTCGGTGACTCTGTCTTCAGCCAGTGGAGCAAACACACTTGTCTTTCCATGCTCCTACTCCATCCCCAATGGTCCCACTGGCAGCAATCGCACAGGAAGCAGTTCAGAAGCTGATTGCAGTTGTGCTGGGCTGAAAGCCATGTGGATGGGCAGGTGTCCAGCACGGCATCCAAGGCCTTGAACTGGCATCTCCATGCAGCACCTTAACAAAGGCCACAAACCCCAAGGGGGTCTGGAGACCCCCATGCTGCTGCTGTCTCAAGGCAGCAAGCTGTGATTCCCTGCCTCCGTAAGGAGGATGATAGTGATTTACCACTCCTTTTGCCAAAGGAGCTGCAAGGCTCGAGTATCTCTAGAGCAGGAGCAGGACAGTGAGGGCCTCCCAGGGCTTCTGGGCTTAAAAACCTTTGTCTGGTTTTAAAGGTGGTTTTGCCCTTGTTTTCCTCCTAAGGCTATGGAGCGCAGACAGCCACAAGGTTAATGAAATTGAAGCCGAGAGTGTAAACAGCAAAACCCCCTCATCCCACAGGGAAAACCCCATCCTGCCATCAAAGCTCAGTCCCAAAGCTGCAGAACATTTTGCAGGGTCTGAAAGACCAAACCAGACCCCTGGGGGACCCCCCCAGCCCCAGCTCATGGCACCACACAGCCCCCTCTCAGAATGATAAGGGTAACAGGAACATTATGGCTAAGGATATGGGTACACACAGAAACAGAGGAATTGGAGTGTGCCTCCTCCTCCCAGCCGGTATTAACAGCACGAGTTAGCTCAGAGCATCCTTCCGCATAGCACGGCTTAAATAACCATCTAACATGGGAGCAAGGGAGCAGCTCCAGGACACTGACATGGGAGGTGATGCTGCCATGGCCTCTGCGGGGCAGCCTCAAGAGAGGGAGCTCCCTGACCATTTGTTTCCTGTGTGCAGCAGCACCCAGCAGCCATGCATTATTTTAATGAGACACAATAATATTCTGCCAGTTGTACAAGCCATAGATTGAAGCCTCAAAGAGAAATCACCCGAACATCCATATGATCAATCTTGTCAAAACACGTTCATTTAATCCCTTACAAATGCAATGAAGACACATTCAAAATGTCATGCTTGGGGTCTGGGAGCCAGGTCCCTATAGATCAGCCAGCCCAGGTAAACCGTGTTACTGAGGAGCTGTTTGACAGCAGACGTGCCAAAACCACTCATAAACTGTGCACACCTCATCTCAGATGGAAAACTCATGCGCCTGCTTTTTGTTCCCTGTACCTTTCCATGACTGGATGCAAGGGGGGTGCACAGGGATGCACACAACTCATAGCATCGGCGACAATGCGGACACCCTCACACACAGCAAGGTCCCTGCCCTCCAGCAACAGACACATCAGGAAGCAAACAATTTCTGCAACACCCACAGACAGGGCTGACCCTGCAGCAGGGTCAGGAGCATCAATTTGCTTTGCAGCACTGAGTGAAGCATGAGTTTCATTCAGCATCCTTCACCAGAGGTAACTTGTGGAGCATCCCCACACATCCCAGCCAGTTGTCCAAAGGAACTTATGGTACATCCACAACTTGTACTCCCAAGAACTTCCCCCATGGGACCGAGGTGATGGGCTGGCTGTTTTGGGATGAACACCCAGGTGCCCATTTAACAGAAAAGATGTGTGACAGGTATGACAATGGACAGGGATCAGTTGGGTTCTTTATTGGTTCTGAAGGTGCTTAGGTTTAAAGCAATTTGTTAGGCTCCCTGTGATTTACTGCCATGCTGGAAAATGGGGCTGAGTATTGATTCTTTGCCTTTTCTATTGCAAATGGGTGTAATGTTTTATAGTATGTCAGAATAATAGCAGCGGGCACTTTATCAATGTCAAATGTTAAAAATGATCAGCTATTGTGATGTAGGAGATTAAATATGAAAGCTTGATGGGTATATAAAAGCAGAATGGCAATAATAAAGGGATTTTTATGTTCAACTCGTTGCTCTCCCAAATCTACCTGGGGAGCTATTAGAACCAACTGCACTGATCAGTGACATATCACTATGGGTTAAAGGACAGGAAAGTGCTGGGTTTAATTCCCATGGAGGGGGGATATCCCTCTAGCATTACAGGGCCAAGCTGGACCCCTGCTGTCTTTTAACCTCAAAGAGGGAGGATCTTTCCATGAGGATAATTTCTAGACCAACTAATCCTCGAGTATTTAAAATGTGAAGCCTGAACATCTGTCAAAGAGCTCTATTTACCAAGCAAACCCAACGAATCTAGCTGTTTTCAGCTGCCTACCAAGTGAGCTGTGGGAGCGCCGGTCACAGAGAGGCAGAAGCAGCTGTTTCAGGAGCAAAGGCTCCCACAACACAAGAGGAAGACACAAACCCTGAGAAGAGCCCCACCTTTGTGCCCGACCCCACACTCACCTCCTGGGCTTGCTCACTGCCCTGTGCTCGCCCATGATCCTTCCTCTCTGCTCCTGTCCCCTCTCCAGCGCACAAAGCCCCAGTGCCCCCAGCACCAGCCCTTTTATAGCCCTGGAAGGCCCTAATTCCTCACAGCCTCTGCAAATCCCCACTCACAGCCAACAGCTGTGTTTCTGCACCAGGCAGGGCTGCCCTTAACCCCTTCCCCACCACCCCGGTTCCTGCGCTCCCCTCCAGTGCTCTCAGTCACAGTCATTTGGCTGCTGAGGGTCGCAGATTTCTGGTCAGGTGAATAGGACAGGTCCTACCCGGTGGAACCCACGCTGGAGCTCTTTGCTCCAGAGCCAGGTAATGGGCATGGGCAGCATTTGAAGCCCGAGCAAGATGAGAGGGTGAAGAGGACGGCGCTGCAGTGCCCATCGCGGCCCGTCTGCCCGCCCAGCAGCACGTTCAACCACTGATCTCCGGTGCAGTGACAGGTTTGTGGGATGGAAGCGAAGCTCCAGCCGCCCTGGCCCAGGAGGAGCCCCACAAGGGTGCCTTGCTGCCAGCGCCACGTTGCCTGCAGACAGGAGAGGCTCCCTGAGCGCATCCTGCCGGCTCCCCGCTGGGAATCGGCTGCTGTGGCTGCTTTTGATCCGTCCCCTGGGAGCCAGTGTGCTCTTGCTGCCCGCGCTAGGAAAACCAGGCAGGAAGAGGAGGGAGGCTCTCAGAGCTCCATCAGTGGAGATGACTTCCATGAGCAACCATTAATCGTCTCACCCATACCTTAATACAAAGGAAGAGTGAAAAGTAGAAAAGGCCAATAACTCTTGAAGCCCGGATGCCAATTAATGGCTTTGAGTTGTCATAAGCAAGAGAAGGAAAAGCAAGCAGAAGCAGGACAAGTGTTCTGCTAATTACCTAAACACTTTATTAACCAGCACTAATTAAAGCAGCTCTTGGAGGCTGACAAATGGCTGGAATTACTCAATTTAGAAGTTAGTTTTGACTCCGGTAATTTATACAGCGCCGGGAAGTTACAGGGGGGAAGTATCTTTCAACTAATGTTTTTTTATTAAAGCTGACAGCAATAATTAGTTATTTGCTACTAACGGGGCAGCCCCCGGAGGGAAATTCACCGAGATGGATGGCTTGGGCTCCTGCCAGCAGTAATTGCTCTGAGCTTGGTCAGACGCTGGCATGCTGACCCGAACAGAGCCTTCGGTCCCTGCCTCCGGGCTCCCTGGCCGTGGTGCCAGGAAGGGCTTCAGCCATAGAAGGGATGCTCTGGAGCCGGAGCTGCTGAACCCCAAGCTTGGCAGGAACAGCAACGACTCCGGTTCTCAGCACACAGAGCTGGAAGGCAGGAATTGCAGCCAGGGAGTAGCTGGGAGCCACTCGCTGCGAGTAATCCACATTAAAACCCCACTCATTTTTGTCCAGAGAATATCTGACCGTCTTTGCCAAGGGCCAGTGTGAAAAGTGTTGGGCCTGAACGTAAAGCTACGCCCACAAAGAGAAGAGGGTTTAACGCTGAGCAGTTACCACAGGCTTTGACACTCTTGTCTGTCATCAGTCCCCAGCCTCTGGAGTCAACCGGCTACAGCTCTTCCTAAAAGTAGATTTCTAGTTTACACGCACACAGAAAAAGCCCTGAACGCAGGAAACTAATGAGCTCTGTGGATTCAGAAATCAGAATGCAAAGAAAGAGGATCCAGATTTTCGTTTCATCTCCCTTTCTGAGCATGACATATAATCTTGGATGCTTGGGTTGTCAATACCTTTTGTTTCTCATCCTTCCTATAAACTGCAAATGATCCAATTATAGAGTGAAAGGAACAGAAAAGGGGGAAGGCAGGAGAAATGGAATAATCTGTGGGGAAAGGAAAGGAACTGAGATGAAAAGCTAATGAAAAGACAAATACAAAAAGGCACAGATGAAGTAGAGGGTATTTGGATTTAGAGGGAGAGGGGAAGGCAAGCCGTGGGTGAAGAACATCAGCATGGAGCCGCACGGCCCCAGCCCATCGCATCCCTGCCCTTTCCTCTCTTTGCCTTCTTCACTCCTGCTCCTCCAGGCACAAAGCGGAGGCACATTCCAGCAGCAGCTCTGGGGACTCGCAGTGCTCTGGATAAATGGAGCCACGAGCCCCAGTGCATTTGCTATCATCAGGTCCCAGCGTGCAGCGCTTGGCTCGGCTCCTGCGCTGTGGTAGTTACAGGTTGCTGCGCTCCCAGCCCTCGGGGTCTCCATTTCTCTTCCCTCCTGGAAGCTGCTGGTGGAGCACTGCCAGCTTCCGTGGCATCAAAGCGCGGGCAGCGATGCATTGCCTTGGGTAGCAATAAGCACAGGGCTGCTTTTGAGCTATGTCGGGGTTCAGCAGCTCAGCATCCACCCGATTCAACCCATGCTGACCATCCACATCATGCTGGGAGCCTGAAAAATGCCGTAATTCATAACGCCATAATGCAGTGGAATAACAAGAGCATGATCCAGCATCATCCATCAAATCCTCTGCATGACCCATGGGGCTTCCTTCAGCTGGGATGGGAGCTCTGCCCCCCCAGCTCCCCACAGGGGCCCCCCAAAGCCCTGGGAGCACCAGAAAGGCAACTTCGGACCGGAAAATCCACTGTATTTTAAAGGAATATTGAGCAGAATGGAAAGGGCTTTTTTGATGTCTCCTTTCTCCCAAACTAAAAAAAAAAAAAAAAAAAAAAAGCTTTTAAAATAAATAGCTGACAATGTCTCTTATTTGAGTAATTCTTTGCCAGCAATAAACGTGTCACTCGCAAGTGCTTTATTTAGAAATGAAAAACTGTTTTTCTTTGTCGAGCGCTCCACATTACACCAAGTTAAAGGCTGGAAGCGCAATCCTCCTCCTGCTGCATCCCCCTCCCTGCCCGAGACATTCATATATTCTCCTATAATCTGATCTAGGTTATAAAAATATGAAAAAGGAGAAAAAAAAGAAAGAGACATCTGGCTCTCCCCCAGAGCTGACATTTCCCTTTATGCCTGGTTTAACTTTTTTATGAGTGCCTGGGTTCGCTTCGGTGGAGAATTTCTCCCTTCAAATGAGTTTCCTGCTTTATGGGAGAAGCCTTCCTTTAGACAAACCTGGTAATTTTTCAAGTTAAAACGTGTACGTTTTAAGTGCTGGTGAAGTTTAAGGATCCGGCTGATGGGGACATAAATCTGAGTTTATTCACGCTGGAGCCCCTGTGTCTGATCCTTTACAACAAAATAAAAGGGAGCGGTAAGGAAGAGCCTGGCATCGTTTTCACTTGTTTTACAGGAAGAGGAGAAAAAGCCCAAACTGTCAGTTTGGGGAGTAATTTATTAGTGGCTGTTCACACTTCCAAGCCTTTATGTGCTAATGCTGAGGAAAGGCGGTACTTGTGCTTCATTGAGCATGTACTCATTGAGAGACAATGAAGCGGGGGCTGATGTGGTTTCCTCACTGTTTGGGGCCGCCTTTTACTCAGGAGCAATGGATGGGGCTGCTGGGGGGTTGGAGCCCCAGCTCTGCCGATGGTACCGCTGCTTCCCTTCCTCCAGCCCAGCGCCCCGCGCACGCTGAGCTCTCATAATGCCCTCTCACGTAATGGATAACGGCAGAACAAGTCCTATTGTTCGGTGAGAGGGGAAAATAAAACAGGCACAAAAGGCAGGGGCTTAAAAGAGCAACATTATTTCTCAAATAGAGCATGGGAAAAACAAACCCCAACGGGTCCTATGTCCCCTGCTCACTGCAAAGCGGCCTTGAATCCCAAGTGAAGAGCCAAGCGGCTATGGAGCTCTCGCAGACACAATTCCAGGTTCCATCCAAGCACCTAATTAAATTTTCAGAGTGGTAACTGCTCGGGATCCAGCACAAATAGCTGCAGAAGCCAGAGGGGAGGCAGGCAGAGGATGGAGCAGGGAGAAACCTAAAGCAAATAATTAAACAAATAAACAGGGAAAGAACTAACAGAGGCAAAAGAAACTAAAAGCCCCGGCAACCCTGGCTGCCCGAGCATCATTAGCAGCGGGACAGGAGGGAAGTGTCTCATCATCCTTCATCCTGACGAGCACTTAGAGAGTCGCGACCCCTTTCAGCATCTCCATACACACCATCAGCCCTGCACATCGGTCACTGCCGCTCGTCCGCCGCATCCCACCTTACTGCGGGGAAGCGGAAGGTGAGGGAAGGCTGCCAAAGGTAGGCAGGGCAGCAAAGGCAGGAGCCAACGGGGCCTCATCCCACTGTTGATGCTGCAGCCCTCGAGGCACCCCCGGCTCCGCTCGCCCGTGAGGATGCAGAGGGAGCAGCGCAGCTATTTTTGCTCATGCCTACGTGGCACGGCGGGGGCTGAGCTGCCAGCAAGCGTGGATTTCAGCTGGGTGTGCCGGGAAAAACTCCCGTGTCAGCTCCCGAGAAGGAGCCCGGGAGCAGTTTGTGGCGAGGCCAAGAGATGGAGGCAGCAGCAGAGCAGCTGAGTTCCGCGGCGCGCAGCACTCGCAGCCTGCCGTGGTTTCGCTGCTCCCCGCAGCGCCGCTTGCTGCCTTTCTGCCTGAGCTCCCTTTGTGCTTCAGCATAGCCCGAACGCGGGGTGAGAGCGGCTGAATTGGCAGCCCCCGAGCGCTGCCCCAGCTGCTGCTGGTGGTGTTTGCCGAGCGCTGACAACGGGCGGATCACTGCCCGGGTAATGGGAGCAGCCCTGCCTCGGTGAGCTCATCGCGGGAGGGAGGAGGACACGGCAACGCTGGGCTTCTTCCAGCCCTGGGAAACCACAGCAGCTGAAAGCCTCTGCTCTAATTAACGCGCCTGCTTGATGACTCAGCAGCATCAGGAAGCGCTCCAGCCCTGGCTGCACCACCGTGTAAAGCCAACAGTAAAGCCTGAGCAGGGTGCTTGCTGTGGGAGTAACTCATTCCTTCCCCTCAGGCCGCCGGCTCAGCCTGTTGCGGTTCACATCAGACACAGCTCCCTTCACACTAAAAGCTCTCAGCATCGTCTCAACCCAGCTCTCAGGCAGGGTCCAGCATGAGACAGAACAAGCAGTGCCAGTGTTCCCTCTCAATGAGGCAATCCAGGAGCGCCTCTGGATTTCCTCTGCAAACACTGCCTGTTTCCAGGAACCCGTGTTCCGCTGGACTGTTTGCTCCTCGTCAACACAGAGGAAATGTGTCCGGGTGCTTCAACACGTCCAGAGCAAACAGCGTGGAGTTATTAAAGCGAAAAAAGCAAACATCTTCCACTGAAATGCGGGGTTAAAGCGAGGGGAGGAAGGGACAGGCCTGTATCCTGCAGGAAGGTGTGGAGCTCAGGAGCACCCTGACAGAGCTGAGCACACAGCTACACCATGCTCACCAGGTTCATGTCCCTGCCCAGGGTGTCACATCCCATGGGCACTGCCACCGCAGTGCTGGAGCTGCCACTACAGGTCAGGCCTTTAATCTGTATTCCTTTCTTTCCCTGATTTTTCTTAGCAGAAATTGAATCTCCGTTCCAGTTTCTTCCGATTCCATAAAGGGATATCAGTTGCAGTGTAAGTCCAATTTATTCCTTTCCATGTATTCATTAAATCCCAGTTAGTTCCCGCACTATTTAATGGAATTGATGGTGTAATTAAGCTACAGGCAGACATTAACAACCAGAACCATCAGGGAGACTTAGGATCCTTTACTGCTCTGTTCCCAGTGTTATACAGCCTCTAATTTCACAACAATTACTGGAACCAGTTGGTTCAAAGCACACACTTGGCGCATACAGAACACCCAGCACCAGCTCCCGAAGGCCCTGGGTCCAACTTCAGCCTCACTGCACATCCCGCACACACAGTGCATCCCAAGGATGCTCTGTTCAACAGCCACATCTGCTTGGGATCCCCCACTCCTTATACCCTGCTAGAGGGAAGTGTAAACCAGAGACAGCAGCCGGGGCACCCACACCTCACCATCCCTGCTGACGGAGACATCCAGCGCTGAGCAGAGGCTGGAGCAGGGCAACACCCATGCTTCACATGCATCTCCTTCCTGCTCCCAGAGCTGCAGCATGCTGCCTGACACCGGGCTTCCCAGAGGCTTTGCAGACCAGAGGTGAAGCTGTAATAATAACTGCTATTGCGTTCAGAGATTGCTTCCCAGCGCCTTATCTGCCCAGAGATACGAGCAGGATCTGATCATGCTGCAATTACCAGACCTAGATTTGCACTAATTGGCTCTCTGGAGTAACCTTACCTCCAATTTGTATATTATGGGTACTCAGCAGGCAGTGATTTACAGCCCCACAGGTTAGGGGGATGCTGTAATCCCTTTCAGGGCTCCTTTCCTCACCGCTGCCAGAGGGAGGGCCAGCAGTTAGGTGGGTCCTAGGGGCACATCCTCATCACCCAGCCTGTTTGTTAATGACCTGGACTTTGGGGAGGTTTGGGCTGCATAATGGGATAATAGACGGAGCTGATGGCTTTCAAGAAGGTGTTGAATCCACCGCTCTGCTTCCCACCTCTGCCATCCTTCCCCATTGCCCAACTCTGCCAAGAACACTGCTTGGGAGCTGCCATGGGGCTGGCTGTGCCGTGGCAGCGCAAAGAGGCACCCGTCTGCAAGAGACCCAAACCAAAATGCACTCTTTGAACATGAGAAATGACTCTACTGCTGCTACTACAGGAAACAAAGCGGCTTTAGCTGAGGAAATACGCCTGGGGGAAAAATCGGTCTGGGCTGACTGTTAGGGATGACACAGGTAGAGAGGGGAATGTCTCTTTTGGAGGCTGCTCCCCGTGTGCCCTGTCCTGCCTACATCCTCATTCATGGCTTAGAGGGGGGTGCCAGGGGAATCCCATCTCCGTTAAATCCATGTCATTTGTCACTCTGCAGGAGTGGTGAGGAGGACAATTAGTGTGAACGGGGAGGCAATGGTTATGATGTAAAGCCTTGGCCATCAGTCATCATCAATGTGGTGGCTTGCCTGTCCCTGAAGAGTAACAGAGTTTGGTGGGGTCACGGAAAGGCCTCTCCATCCTTCTCCAAAACCTTAGCATTCATCAGAGCCATCACAGAAATAGACCAGTGAAGTAGTTCTCAGGCCATCACTTGCAGCAGGCACTCCTCAGCAGCAGAAGTGGTTTGCAGAGAGCATGAACCTGGATTTCCTGGACAACAAGCACAGCAGCCAGGGTAGGGGCAGGGGGAGGCCCCAACCTTCAGCATTTGCAGGGGTTTGACGCACCACTGTCCAACGGAGCAGGGAATGATGATGCAGATGTGCTGCTCCTCGCGTTCCACAAAGATCCAGCTTTCTCAGTTCAGCCATTCCTGTATTGCAAAGGACAGCGGAGCTTCCCTTGTTTGGCAGACACAGGCGTCCTGCTCAGCTTGAATTTCCCAGCGAGGCCAAGACCAGGCTTCCAGGGACGTGTCCCATTTTCTGCTCCAGCAGAGCTCGGAGCCAGTGGCGCTCCGGGAAGGGATGCACTGTACGGGTCTGTGCCCACAGCACCTCGTCCATCAGCCGTGCTCCGGGCTCCTGCTTGTTTGTGTGGTACCTGTGGGTGGATGTGGGAGTCTTTGATCATCTGGGATTACTGCGGCATTAGGAGCTTTCAAACAGGAGCAGATGCTCTGGGTACAAAAGTGGGTCATGTACGGTGCTGTGCTAGGATGCTTTGATGTGCAGGGGAAGGGGGGAGGCCAGGGCAGGGTATGGAGGAGCTGGAGTGTGCTTTGCACGGTGCAGACTCCAGTGAGCCCCCGACTGCCTGCCCTGGGTGTGCTCCATTCGGTTACTGGGAGTTTGCCTTGTGCTTGCAGGGCTGCAGGGGACAAAAGGCTTCCTACGGCAATGGAACAGCGCTTGTCCGCAGAGATGAGGTGGGAATCTCACCCGGCCACATCCCCAGCACGTATTCCTTCAGATGTCTTCTGCTGCTAATGAAATAATGTAGGAGACATCATTCTCCGTCACTTCCAGTTACAGTCCCCCTGTGCAGGAGCCTGCCAGCGTTCTCCTTCCTCCAGAGCTAACAAACCTCTGCTAAGAAGAAAGGCCATTAATAATAATTACAAAGAAGAAAACCCCTCTCTTCTCTCTCTCTCTTTTTAATGAGCCCTAAAAAAGTAGGTTTCTTAATTGAAAAGCTTTCTATTTTGGAGACAGCACCAACACTTCAGAGCGGGGCAGGCAGCTCCGGCAAGCAAAGGCGAAATGAGGGGATGCATCAGGCAGCTCCTTACAGGAGTCTGAGAGATGGACCTCAAACTCAGGGGTCACCCAGACTCCATCACCAGAATCCAAGGAACTATCAACAAGGCACTAATTAGATTGAAAGGAGGCTGCAGATGGAAACAAAGCAGGAAATCGGCTTTGGAACAAACATCATTAGAAGTTTGGGAAGGAAAAGGATGTCCTGAGCCTGGGAGCTGAGCAAAGTGTGACACACACACACACACACCCCCCCAGTACCACCCATGACAAGGGGTCATCGGGCCGGGGCTCCTTCTCCAGGCTGCTTCCCATTCCCAGTCCACAGCTACTAAACTGAAGGTTTATCAGCCGCAGCTGCTGGAGCACCCTCCTCCCTGATAAACTGCTCATTGAGATGAGCCAGGGATGCAGAGCTCACTTCTCCACCCCACACACACACCACACACACACACACCATGCAGGCTGTCCTCCCTTCCTGCAGCATTCCCGCCTGGCAGCAGCCCAGCCCCGGGCACAGAACACTTCCACCGAGGCTTGATCGATCACCTCCCGCATTTGGCTACTCACTGGCTGGATTAATGACATGTGGGATCCAGGATGTGGCTCTTCCTAATGGCATCGACGTGGCCTCTGTCCCCGTGGGAAAGTGAGACCCAGGGCTGCAGCCCTGTGTGCCCAGAGCAGCAGCACACACAGCATCACCCTGCTCCCTGCACACCAGGAGCTGGGAACAGCCAGAAACACTCAGAACACTTGCAGAAAGCCCAGGGTTTTGAGCCGAAGCTGGCTCAGCACCCCAAGGATTCGACCTTCCTCTCCCACCCGTTTCCACATTTCCAGTTTAAACTACTTTGTGCCCCTGTTGGATGCAGGACACATCCACGTCCTGCAGAGACTCACAGGCCTAGTGCAGAGATTCCTAACCTTGACCTTTTTATGAGTCTCAGGATGGCTTTCAGCAACAGGCTGGAGGATGCTCATCCATTTCTCCCACTTGTATATTGCACTATTATGCCATAACACATATATAATCACCAGAAGCCCAAAGCAGCAAATGCTGTCATCATCAGACAGCCCAGCTTGGCTGATGCATCCTTAAAGCAGCTCTGCAAATCAGACCTGAATATCGTTAGGATAAAGGGTGTAGGGAAGGAAATGGCCACAACAGCCTGTTGCAAAGTTAGCCTGGGCTCTGCCTCCCAAATTGGTTCAGAGAAATTAACAGGAAGGAAGGAAGGATCAGACACAATAATCAACCTGCTTACCTGCTCATTAGTTTAATCTCGTCTTTTTTCTTCCCCTCTCCCAGCCCTGTGGTTTCTCTGAGCACGGAGTAAGAAGAGAACAGCAGAGTCCTAGATGAAAGGGAGGCTGGGTCTGGAAGCACAAAGATTAAAGCAGAGTTTTTAGGACTGGTCTTTGATTATTGTGTTTTTACCTTGGCTCTGTGGTGATTATTCCTGTTCTCCCAACATCCCTTCTGGGTGCATCCGAGGGAGCACGCAGCCTCTTGAGCAAGGTCCAAGGACAAACAGCGAGCGGGTTGGATACAGGATAGGCTCCAGGAGGAAAGGGGGTCCCAGACAACAGCCCCCCCCCCCCCATACACCATCTAGGTTTATGAAGGTGGGACCCTGCTGGGAAAGCCTGGTCCAAGCACCTCCATACCAGGAGGGCTCCTCCTGCTGCTCCTGAAGCAGGATGCGGGCACAGGGTTGGATGATGGGGACTGCTCCCAGCTGTCCTCCATACGCATAACCTCAGGCAGGAAGGTGTGAGAAGAACAGATCCGAGCTCTGCTCATCTGGAGAGGGCAGAAAGAGGCTGCTTTAGCAAAATTCCCACAAGGGATGCACACCATAGCCGTGCATGTATGAAGGAATTACATTTGGAACAGCTTTTTCTTGTTAAATCGGGCTTTTCAGTCCTGCCTGGAGACCAGGCTGAGCACAAACATGGGGGCTCAGGTTGTGGCGGTGAAGAATGGGAGTGAGCTGTGAGGCAGAAGCAGCTGCAGCCCCAGCAGGGAACTGGGCAGGACGGGGAGAAGAGGCTCCTACCCCAGCCTGTGCTGGGCAAAGCCAAACACCAGCAATGAATTAGCTTCTGTTTAGCCAACACCCTTGGAGCGTTTCCGAAGCCAGGGCCAGAACAAACAACGCGGCAAACCCGAGCGAATGTCATTCCTAAACCAACAAACTATTGCCTCGCAAAGTGGAACACCCCGAGGGCATCCAGGAGCAGCTCCTGCTCCGGGCCGGGCGGGCGCCGCAGCATCCTGCATCCTCCTGCGGGGTGCGCGGCGGCAGTGGATCGATGCAGCAGAGAGCAGGAGGCTGCGTCGGGCTCGGAACATGATTTATGATCTCGCAGACATCCGGAGATCCGCGCCCGGGCTCTGGGGTCAGCTCTCGGTGAGCAGGGCCCAATTAGGTGACCCCCCACGTCTGCGATCGATCAGGAGGGAGGGTTTGCTGCTCACACAGTGCCTCCAGCAGCAGCATTGCCGCTGGTCTGGGGAGAGCACCGTGTAGAGCTGTCATTGGGGGCACAGGGGGGCTGTGAGGTGGATGCGCTGCACGCACCACCAGGGACCAGTGCAACCCTACCTGGGGCGGTGGGTACCAATCCCCCTCCAGCCTCATGGAGCTGCTTTCTCTGCCTCTTGCCATGTCCCCTGCTGCTGCAGGCCAGTGGTGTCAGCCCCTCCTTCCTTCCGTGAGAAGTCCTGCACCATGAGGCTGGGAGAAAAAGGTTCATTTCTGAAGCCAGTCTTCCTCCCCCTCACTCGTTACAGAAAGGAGGGGGAAGAGCCCGGAAAGACAGAGTTATTACATTAATCAGCACAGAATTCTAACTACTGCCCTTTATGCTTTACATAATAATATAAAGCTTTATTCAAAGACAACAGCCTTCTACATCAAAGATCCCCCTCTCCCAGTCTGAACTTTGGAGCCCTTCTCCTTGCAATTAATGTAGAGAGATCTAAACAAAGTTAGGGAGCAGCTTGCAGACATCCTCTGAAGCAGGGCTGGCTCTGCTCGGGGAGCAGGATCCACAACCACAGCTCTGCTCCCTGCTGCCGTTTGGCTGTGCAGGCACAAATAGTAAGGGAAATGGCCGGGGTTAGGGTGCTCTGTGCCCCACCACCTCGGAGGAGGAGAAAGTTCATTTTCATTCTATAATCCCGGCTTTGCATCGCGCACTGCACAAATACACGAGGACATCGCTGGCGCCCTTCGCGCAAACCCAGCGTGCACAAGCATTGGAAGCTTACTGCAGGCTAGTGCCCGAGGGCATATGATGAAGGTCACCCACCCCATGTTGAGTAATGTAGCTCCAAAGCTTTGCTATGGAATTGCTCATCTCCCTTTGGAGGGGCATGTGTTGCTGTGGAGGGCTGCGAGTGTGAAGGCAGCAGCAGGCACAGCCGCCCTGCATCCAGCACACAACAGACCAGGCCATCTCCACCCGAGATGAAGGCTCCTGCTCCTTCCCCTTCATCCTCCCCCAGGCTGAGCTCTGCCACGGCTATTCCGGGATCTCTGCAAAATGCTAATTGCTGTGCTTGGCCTCCCCCGGAGAGCAAGGGGAACCCTCCCCTAATTAGCGCCGCAGTCTGTGGCTCAGGGAAGCCAAATGCTGACTGGAGCGCGGCTGCGCTCCCTGCAAAGAAATCCCAACATATGCTGTGGAAAAACGCCGCCCAAGTCAGGCTTCAGAAGCACGGGGTGTTTAAATAACCACGGATCCCCACTGCTGTTTATTACAGAACAGAAGAGTAATAAAAGGCAAAGCTGCGGCTGCGAAACCTGCTCCCTGCCAGGGCGGGCGGTGGAGGAACTAGAGGATGGGAGAATTCCATAGGTGTGCTCCTATGCATCCCTGCAGCTGCTGCTGCCCTCATTTTGCAACAGAAAAGAGGCCAAGGGGTTGGAATTACCCGCCCATGCCCACGCTGCAAGACGCAAGGGGAAGTTCTCATCCTGTTTTGCATCCCTAGTGCGGGGCTGAGGTGGCCCTAACGGGACCCTATGGGGAGGCTGCACTGCGGACTTGCACATGCTCTGCAGCCCTCCTGCGTTTCCGCTGGTCACTTGTGGTAGTCCAAAGCATATAAAATATTTAGTGGCTCCTAATTAGAAGTAATTACCACTTAACCTGGAGCAGAGACGTGCCCTGTGCATCTACTTCTGAACAGCTTGCACCGCAGCTCATTAAAGGGAAGGGCTCAGGGAAACAGACAAGTGCTTGTTTTAGCGAGGACCCCTCCGGCTACCCGAGTGCCAACACTCGCATCCGAGGTCCACAGGCTCCACTCAAAGGCGCCCGCGAGCAAAGCCTCACCTCACCTCTATTTCAGTGTGATTGCTCCCTCTGTGCCCCTGAGGTTCTGCTCCGGCACACCATGTCCTTCCCCGAGCCGCAAGGGGGAAAGCAAATGGTTAACGAGATGCCCAATTCCGATTCGTTTCTCTTCTATCAGAGCTATGTAGGAGAAAACAAATGAGGCTCCTTTCCATGGGTGCCGCTTTCCTGCTCAGAAAGCCTTAGGAGTAAAAACATCCTGCAGTGCCTCCTCTGCTTTGGTCTGTGCATCTCTCTGAAGGTCTCCGCTAATAAAACCAACTTAACAGCCTTTCTGCCTGGCTCCCGAGGGAAAACCCTGACCTCTTACTCAATCCACAGCCTCCGATGCAGCCCGAATGAGCAAACACGCCTTGAAGGGTGACCCGCAGGTCAGCAGACCCTGACTTTTGATCCGTGAACTCCGGCGATGGAGGATTCACTCGCAAACCTGAGCGGGGAGGGAAACAATTCCCCTCTGTGCCGAGAACTGGGGAGATTAAAAATAATCAGGTCCACCTCAAACTGAACCAAAAGTTTGAGATCCAGAAAATGGCAGCAAATGAGGCAGCAAAGCAGAGTCAGCAAACACAGCCCAAGAGCACCAGCTGAAGCATTTCATCTCCACAAGTGAAGAAATGCTTTGTAGCTGCTTTTCGAGTCTTTCACTTCTTTGCAATAAATGAGCTTCCTTCTCTTTATCCACATTTCCAGAATTGAAAAGTACAGGTTTTACCTGGTGGTTTAACTCCTCAGACTTTCAGACATCATTTGGCTTGGTCCCTTCCTAACAGGTCAGGGCAGTTGGGATGGACCTGCATTCTCAAAAGGAAAATAAAACTGAAGGATGCTGAAATGGCTTTTTCCTCCAAGGCTGCTGCTCTGTCCTGCACAGATCTGATGGGCACCATTTGTCCCATCCATGCTGAGCTTTGGCCAAGCCCCAGCCCGAAAGAGATGTGTGCAACCCCCTCCACTGCTCCCTTTTCTATCCCATTCAAGAACAGCATCGGGCACCTGACTGAGCTTCAAGGGCTTAAACACGTTTGGGCAGAGCTGACTCTTTCAGACTGGTCTCTGTGCACATGTGCTCCATGTGCTCACTGCAGCCCCAACGAGTCCAGCTCCACAGGCCCCAGGAGCAGCTCCCACAGGGCCAGTCAATGCTCCTGCTGCCATCTGGCTGTGGAACCTCACACCCAGGTCAGCCATGCCCTGGAGCCCCCCGGCAGCCCCAGCACTCCCAGCTCAGCCCTATGGGACAACCCCTCACATCCACTCACTGCAGGAGCAGCTGCTGCTGACGCACCAAGGTTTGCAAGCCATGCTGGACCCAGTAAACATCTGCTCTTGCCCGCTGCCAGCCATCAATCACAGCTGACAGCCGTCCCCCCACGGACACCACCGTGCTTTTCACCTTAATTTCTTAGAAGGGCTTTTTCACCAGTTGGAAACCCATAAATATCACTCTGTGAGCCCAGGTAGGGCTAATGATAGATGGCTGCTTCACAGACATGCCAGAGGCTTTGACCTAATTGTCACCAAAATACTTCCTGATTAACTCATAGATAAAATCCAATTAAAACTTCTGCTCTTCCCACAGTCCCTGCTGAGTACTTTTTCTCCCCATCTCAAACTCTCTTAAATTAGATCCAGGCTAGCCGGACCCGCTCTGGATAGAGGAGGATGCTCTGCCCACCATCCTCATGTAGCCCTGTCGCTCCCTTTTCTTCCTCCGCTGAATAGATCCGCTGCACAGAAAAGCCTCTTTAGCACATTTGCTTTGATGTGCAATAAGTTAATTACTGTAATAGGTTCATCTTTCTCCCCCAGTATTGAATCATGTACAACATCCGTATAAATTGTCACGGAGTTCCTCATTTTGACTCAATTTATTCTTTAAGCAGGCCTAGCAAGTGTATTTCTGCAGAAAGGCTTTTCCTCAATCCCATTTACCAGGTGAATCCATTATTTTCTCTCTCCTGATATCCATCTTGGTCCACCTCCCAGAAGGATGGTGCTCGCTGATGCCCTGGTCTTGCAGCCGCTCAGCAGAGGAGTGATGCTGGGAGCGCAGAACTCTGCATCCAATCCTGTTCCCAGCCTGGGGAACCCTTTGCCACCAGGAAAAGAAAGGAAAGCCAGTGCCTGACCTCACATGAGCATCACAAACCCCTCTGCCCAGGGACAGCACAAGCGAGGCAAAAGGACAGCACAGGAAGCATCTTGCTGTGGTCCATGAGGGCTTCAGCTTGGGCTCTGCAGCACCTTCTCAAAGGGCCCGCAGCAGCTGAGCTGCACAGTGAGACGGAGGGAAGCTCCAGTCTATTCCACCTCAGCCTCCACCGTCTCCCAGACCTGCGCTGGGCTTGGCTCTTACCTGGAGCATTAGCGTGAGGAGGGCTTGGGAAGCCCCAGTGCTTGGCAAGGTGACACACGTGCACAGGGAAGCTCAGTACCAGGGATTCACCTCCATTTTTCCTGCTGTTTTTTTCCTCTATTTTTCTCTTCCCTGTTTTTCTTAAAATAACCTCCAGGTAATGCATTCAGCCCCGCCGGGCTGCTTTATATCACTCACAGCATTTGCCAGTTGACTCTTTCCCGCTGAGATCAAGTCTCTTATCAGGGATTAAGGCTGTAGTTCAGGAGCGCAGCTATGAAGTGTGCCATCAGAGCAGGCAGTGGGATGAGCCAGCACGGCTCACCAGTGCTGCGGGACCCAGAGCGGCCCAGCAGGAGCAGGGATGTCGCAGCGTGTGCTGCTGGGTCTCTAACACAGCCCCCTGTGAGCAGGGGGAACCAAGCTGAGCAAGGCTGGAGAGGCAAAGCAGAGCTGAGTGCATCTCTGAGGATACAGGAGAAAAGATTTGTTGGGTGCACTGTGACCAAAAGGAAACATCCTGGGGATACAGGTCCAGCTTTCAGGCTGGAAGATGTTTACTCCACGTTTAACATAGGAAAAGTCTAGTGACTGCCCCTGATTGAGCCACATCTGCCTGCAGAGATGGAGGAGCAAGGCTGAGCTCCAGCCTCAGGCAGGTGTTATTTCCAATGGAAATAATGGAAACAAGAAGGCTGAAAACAGCAAGATGAGTCAGTCCGTGCTGCAGAGAAGAGGGGGAAGAGCTTTCCTTGGGGGGATATTTGCACCCAGACGGTAGGTCTGGTTCAGCTGGAGCAGACCTGCATCCCAGTGCCCAGAGAGCTCCCATTGCCACTGCCCCACAGCCATCAAGGCACACACCACCTCCTGGGGTGCCCCCAGCACCACTCCAGGCAAGGAGCAGGAAGCCCTCCAGCCCATTGCGAAGGCAGGACAGCAACCTATCACATATCCCCCATTTCCTGCTCTAGATCCAGCTCCACAAGCAGGATCAGCTTGAGCTCACCGCGGCCGCAGTGACCTCTCAGAGCTGCTCGGATGGAAGCGGGAGGAGCTGGTGCGGAGCAGGTCTGCAGCTTGCAGGGGGTAAAGAGCCATCAGCACTGGCCCCGCTGATCTTCCCGCAGGGATGCGGTGGGCTCCAGCCTTGCCCTTGGGCTGCTCCCATCATGAGATGAGCACCAGCTCCCCAGCAGAGCCCCTCACCACCGAGGAGCCGGTTTAGCTCGCCAGCGGCTCACCGCTGCCCGAGCCCGGCGCGGCAGAAGGGGCCATCAAGGCTGTTTGCTGCTTTACACAGGCTATCATGTGCTGTGCCGCAGCGGGGGACTGCAAATGACTTTATAGTTATTGTTCCTCAAATTGGACACCCCCTTGGAGCTTAGATAATATGAGATGAAACAGCCTGCGGGAGGCTGCAGTGAAGTGGAACAGTGATGGAGGCTTTTTTTCCCCTTTCCAAGAAGAAACACTCCACCTATTTACTTCTCCCCCGGCCCTCCTCCTCCTCCTCCTCTTCCCTGTCAGGATGCTGAGCCCTGGCAGTGACAAGGGTGAGCTGGGGTGTAATCGCTGAGCAAACTGAGCTGCCTGAACCCTGTGCGGGTGAATGGATTCTGCACGCCAGGATTTGGACACACAGCTTTGACAGCGAGCCCTGAGGAGGAATGGGAAGGGACAGAGGACGCTGCGGCTCCTTACTCCTCTTCCTACCCACGCGGGGCTTGAAGGGAACATTATTACTGGCAAAGCAGAAATCTCACCTCCTGTCATTTGGCTCCGCAGAGCCAGCGTAACCGCATTGAAGCGGAGATGCTGCTGGAGGGAGTGGGAGTGGAGAGGAGGCTTTGAGGTGAGGGAGCGCAGGAAGAACCAGAGCTAATGAGGGACCGGGGGAAGGAGGATGTCAGGGCTCACGGCACAGCTCGTTATGGAGGAAGGGGGAAGCAGAGGCCTGGAAAAGAAAGGGAAGAGCATCCGAAGTGCAGCGGCCTCGGGGTGAGGGGAGCAGCTGACCCTGGGGAGGAAGGACCTGGCTGGAAATGAGAGCCTGGAAAGCAGAGCTGGGAGCGCTCTGGCACAGCGTTCTGTTTGCCTTTCCCCACAGCAGATCTGGTGATTTAAATTAGGTCTCGATTCTTGTTTAAATTATAGTTTACTGTTCTGCGCCCCGCTCAGAAGTGAATTACCTTAAGCAGCAGTATTAATAACACGGTTATAATTAAGCTTCATTACTGTAGGCAGTTTGCTGAAACAAATTGCTTCTTCATTATTATTATGGCACCTTTGGTAAAAAGACATTTCCCCAGAATGCGACCTTGATGCTTTATATAGCAGAAGCTGGGAGATGATAGAGATGTAAGGATGAATTAGCATCTTTTACCTTCTATATCAAGCTCATTAAAAGGAAAGCGACTCAAGTCAAAACCAAGCAGCCTTGATGGAAATTTTAACCTAAGCGAAATGGATAATGAATAGGTTTGAACTTTTCCTGACATCTTTATAGCGGCGCTTTATTTGTATTACACTTCTGCTAAAACATAAATAAATAAAGCAGGGCAGGGAGGGGTATGGACAGCAGATGGGGCACTGACCTGCCAGCACAGGCACCCCTTGTGCCACCAGCTTCCCATCCAGCACAATGCAATTGCATCCCTTCAGCAAAGGAGCACTATGCTGATTAGTGAAGCGTCCTAATCCTGCAGGAAGTGGTGCCATTCATGGCCACAATGTGAGGTTTCATGAGCTCCCGTTGTCCATCCACATCCAACCTGAACCAC